TTGTCATATCCGTCTAATTAATTAAAATCTTCTGAAAATTCTGTTGCTTTGAAGCGTTTGAACAGTTAAGGTTGTTGTATAACACTGAACAATTAAGACTGTAGTCATGCCTTATGTTTGGTTGATGTTTAAAACTTCATATTTAATGGCATTCAGGTTTTATTGTTCTAATAAAATAGGTACTTTCTTTATGACAGCTTAACATAAAAAAAATCATAAATTGACGTGAAAAAATTAGTCATATATTTAACACATGTGGCATCTAGACAGTAATTCAACACCACAACAAAACCATATAAGAAATCTAACATATTATATTTGGCATCTAGACAGTAATCCAACACCACAACAAAATCATACTAGATATTTAACATAACAAATATGGAAACTGCAAAGTATACACTTAAACAGAAACATACAAGGAATCTTAAATAACACATGTGGCATCTTTAGAGTAATCTAACATCACAAGAAAACCAGATAAGAAATCTGACATAAAATATGTGGCATCAACAAAGTATGCACTTAAACAAAACTTTATAAGAAATCTGACATGACACATGTGGCATCTACAAAGTATACACTTCAACAAAAGCATACGAGAAATCTGCCATGACACATGTGACATCTAATAGGTATACACTTAAACAAAACCATATAAGAAATCTGACATGACACATGTGGCATCTACAAAGTATACGCTTCAACCATATAAGAAATCTGACATAACACATGTGGCATCTACAAAATATACAGGTAAACAAAACTATATAAAAAATCTGACATGACACATGTGACATCTCATAGGTATACACTTAAACAAAACCATATAAGAAATCTGACATGACACATGTGGCATCTACAAAGTATACGCTTCAACCATATTAAAAATCTGACATAACACATGTGACATCTACAAAATATACACTTCAACAAAACCATATAAGAAATCTGACATAACACATGTGGAATCTACAAAGTATACACTTAAACAAAACCATATAATATCTGACATAATATATGTGGCATCTAAAAAGTATACACTTCAACAAATCAATATAAGAAATCTGACATAAAATATGTGGCATCAACAAAGTATACACTAAAACAAAGCTATATAAGAAATCTGACATAACACATGTGGCATCTACAAAGTATACGCTTCCACAAAACCTGATAAAAAATCTGACATAACACATGTGACATCTACAAAGTATACACTTCAATAAATCCATATAAGAAATCTGACATAACACATGTGGAATCTACGAAGTATACACTTAAACAAAACCATATATAATATCTGACATAATATATGTGGCATCTAAAAAGTCTACACTTAAACAAAATCATGTAAGAAATCTGACATAACACATGTGACATCTACAAAGTATACACTTCAACAAATCAATATAAGAAATCTGACATAAAATATGTGGCATCAACAAAGTATACACTAAAACAAAGCTATATAAGAAATCTGACATAACACGTGTGACATCTGCAAGGTAAACATTTAAACAAAACATTATAAGAAATCTGATATAATACATGTGGCATCTACAAAGTATACACTTCAACAAATCAATAAAAGAAATCTGACATAATATATGTGGCATCTACAAAGTATATACTTCAACAAATCAGTATAAGAAATCTGACATAATATATGTGGCATCTACAAAGTATACACTTAAAAAAACCATATAAGAAATCAGACATAATACATGTGGCATCTACAAAGTCTACACTTAAACAAAACAATATAAGAAATCTGACATGATACATGTGGCTTCTACAAAGTATACACTTAAAAAACCATATAAGAAATCAGACATAACACATGTGACATCTACAAAGTATACACTTCAACAAATCAATATAAGAAATCTGACATAAAATATGTGGCATCATCAAAGTATACACTAAAACAAAGCTATATAAGAAATCTGACATAACACGTGTGACATCTGCAAGGTAAACATTTAAACAAAACAATATAAGAAATCTGATATAATACATGTGGCTTCTACAACGTATACACTTAAAAAAACCATATAAGAAATTTTACATAACACATGTGGCATCTACAAAGTATACATTTAAACAAAAGCATACGAGAAATCGGACATAACACATGTGGCATCTAATAGGTATACACTTAAACAAAACCATATAAGAAATCTGACATAACACGTGGGACATCTGCAAAGTCTACACTTAAACAAAACAATATACGAAATCTGACATGATACATGTGGCTTCTACAAAGTATACACTTAAAAAAACCATATAAGAAATCAGACATAACACATGTGGCATCTACAAAGTCTACACTTTAACAAAACAATAAAAGAAATCTGACATGATACATGTGGCTTCTACAAAGTATACACTTTAAAAACCATATAAGAAATCAGACATAACACATGTGGCATCTACAAAGTCTACACTTAAACAAAACAATATAAGAAATCTGACATGATACATGTGGCTTCTACAAAGTATACACTTTAAAAACCATATAAGAAATCAGACATAACACATGTGGCATCTACAAAGTCTACACTTAAACAAAACAATATAAGAAATCTGACATGATACATGTGGCTTCTACAAAGTATACACTAAAACAAAGCTATATAAGAAATCTGACATAACACGTGTGACATCTGCAAGGTAAACATTTAAATAAAACATTATAAGAAATCTGATATAATACATGTGGCATCTACAAAGTATACACTTAAACAAATCAATATAAGAAATCTGACATAATATATGTGGCATCTACAAAGTATACACTTCAACAAATCAATATAAGAAATCTGACATAATATATGTGGCATCTACAAAGTATACACTTAAAAAACCCATATAAGAAATCAGACATAATACATGTGGCATCTACAAAGTCTACACTTAAACAAAACAATATAAGAAATCTGACATGATACATGTGGCTTCTACAAAGTATACACTTAAAAAACCATATAAGAAATCAGACATAACACATGTGACATCTACAAAGTATACACTTCAACAAATCAATATAAGAAATCTGACATAAAATATGTGGCATCATCAAAGTATACACTAAAACAAAGCTATATAAGAAATCTGACATAACACGTGTGACATCTGCAAGGTAAACATTTAAACAAAACAATATAAGAAATCTGATATAATACATGTGGCTTCTACAATGTATACACTTAAAAAAAACCACATAAGAAATTTTACATAACACATGTGGCATCTACAAAGTATACATTTAAACAAAAGCATACGAGAAATCTGACATAACACATGTGGCATCTAATAGGTATACACTTAAACAAAACCATATAAGAAATCTGACATAACAAGTGGGACATCTGCAAAGTCTACACTTAAACAAAACAATATACGAAATCTGACATGATACATGTGGCTTCTACAAAGTGTACACTTAAAAAAACCATATAAGAAATCAGACATAACACATGTGGCATCTACAAAGTCTACACTTTAACAAAACAATATAAGAAATCTGACATAATACATGTGGCTTCTACAAAGTATACACTTTAAAAACCATATAAGAAATCAGACATAACACATGTGGCATCTACAAAGTCTACACTTAAACAAAACAATATAAGAAATCTGACATGATACATGTGGCTTCTACAAAGTCTACACTTAAAAAAACATATAAGAAATCAGACATAACACATGTGGAATCTACGAAGTATACACTTAAACAAAACCATATATAATATCTGACATAATATATGTGGCATCTACAAAGTATACACTTAATAAAACCATATAAGAAATCAGACATAACACATGTGGCATCTACAAAGTCTATACTTCAACAAAAGCATACGAGAAATCTGACATAACACATGTGACATCTGCAAGGTATACACTTAAACAAAACAATATAAGAAATCTGACATGATACCTGTGGCATCTACAAAGTATACACTTCCACAAATCCATATAAGAAATCTGACATAAAATATGTGGCATCAACATATATACACTTAAACAAAGCTATATAAGAAATCTGACATGACACATGTGGCATCTACAAAGGATACGCTTCCACAAAACCATATAAGAATTTTGACATTATACATGTGACATCTGAAAGGTATAAACTTAAACAAAACCATTTAAGAAATCTGACATAACACATGTGGAATCTACAAAGTATACACTTCCACAAATCCATATAAGAAATCTGACATCAAATATGTGGCTTCAACAAAGTATACACTTAAACAAAGCTATATAAGAAATCTGACATAACACATGTGGCATCTACAAAGTATACGCTTCCACAAAACCATATAAGAAATCTAAAATAACAGATGTGACATCTACAAAGTATACACATCAACAAAACCATATAAGAAATCCGACATAACACATGTGGCATCTAGACTTGTACAGAGGACTATAGTCATTCTTGTTACATAGATCAATTTTAGGATCCTTCTTCAACAGTAACCTTACTAAATTAGTATGTCCTTCCCTTCTTGCCCAGTACAGAGGACTACAGCCATCATTGCCACATTGAGCAACATTAGGATTCATCTCTATCAGTGAATTCACTATATCAGTATGTCCTCCAAAATTTTTACTTATACAGAAGACTACAGTCATCCTTGTCATATAGATCAACTTAAGGAATTTTCTCTATCATTAACTATACTATATCAGAATGTCCTAGACTAATTGCCCAGTACAGTTGACTACAGCTATCCTTGTCACATAGATCAACTTAAATATTCTTCTCTAACAGTAAGTTTACTAGTATGTCCTTCCAAAGTAGCCCAGTACAGATGACTCCAACCATTCTCGTTCCAATGATCATCATTAGGATTCTTCTCTAAAAGTAACTATTATAATATCAGTAAGTCCTAGACTACTTGCCCAGTACGTAGGACTACACCCATCCTTGTCACATAGATCAATTTAAGAATTCTTCTCTAAAAGTAACTTTACTATATAAGTATGTCCTTTCCTACTTGCCCAGTACAGAGGACTACAGCCAATATGCCAGAAAGATCAACATTAGGATCTTTCTCTAACATTAACTTTACTATATCAGTATGTCCTTTCTGACTTGCCACGTACAGAGGACTACAGCCATCATTGTTACATAGATCAACATTAGCATTCTTCCCTATCAGTAACTTTACTATATTAATATGTCCCTGCTTACTTGCCCAATACAGAGGACTCCCGCCATTATTGTCACATATATCAACATTATGATTCTTCTCTAAAAGTAGCTTTACTATATCAGTATGTCCAATCAAACTAGCCCAGAATAGAGGAGTCCCGCCATTATTGTCACATAGATCAACATTAGGATTCTTCTCTAGCAGTAATTTTACTATATCAGTATGTCCTTCCCTACTTGTCCAGTACAGTGGACTACAGCCATCCGTGTCACATAGATCAATATCAGGATTCTTCTCTAAAAGTAACTTTACTATATCAGTATGTCCTTTCCTACTTGCCCAGTACAGTGGACTACAGCCATCCGTGTCACATAGATCAATATCAGGATTCTTCTCTAAAAGTAACTTTACTATATCAATATGTCCTTTCCTACTTGCCCAGTACAGAGGACTACAGACAATTTTGTCACAAAAATCTACATTAGGATCCTTCTCTAACATTAACTTCACTATATCAGTATGTCCTTTCTGACTTGCCACGTACAGGGGACTACAGCCATCATTGTCACATAGATCAACATTAGCATTCTTCCCTATCAGTAACTTTACTATATTAGTATGTCCCTTCCTACTTGCTATGTACAGAGGACTGCAACCATTAGTGTCACATATATCAACATCAGGATTCTTCTCTAAAAGTAACTTTACTATATCAGTATGTCCAATCAAACTAGCCCAGTACAGTGGACTACAGCCATCCGTGTCACATAGATCAATATCAGGATTCTTCTCTAAAAGTAACTTTACTATATCAGTATGTCCTTCCATAATTGCCTTGTACAGAGGACTACAGCCAAGCTTGTCACATATATCAACATTGGCATTCTTCTCTAAAAGTAACATTACTATATCAGTATGTCCTTCCCTACTTGCCCAGTACAGAGAACTACAGCCATTATTGTCACATAGGTCAACAATAGGATCCTTTTCTAACAATAACTTTACTATATCAGTATGTCCTTTCTGACTTACCCCGTACAGAGGACTACAGCCATAATTGTCACATAGATCAACATTAGGATCCTTCTCCAAGAGTAACCTTACTATATCAGTATGTCCTTCCCTACTTGCCCTGTACAGTGGTTTATAGCCATCCTTGTCACATAGATCTACATTGGCATTCTTCTCTAAAAGTAACTTGACTATATCAGTATGTCCTTCCCTACTTGCCAAGTACAGAGGACTACAGCCTTTATTGTCACATAGATCAACATTAAGATCCTTTTCTAACAGTAACTTTACTATATCAGTATGTCCATTCTGACTTGCACCGTACAGATGACTACAGCCATAATTGTCACATAGATCAACATAAGGATCCTTCTTCAACAGTAACTCTACTATATCAATATGTCCTTCCCTACTTGCCCAGTTCAGAGGACTACAACCATCTTTGTCACATAGATCAACATTAGTGTCCTTCTCTAACAGTAACTTAACTATATCAGTATATCCTTCCCTACTTGCCCAGTACAGAGGACTACAGCCATAATTGTCACATAGATCATCATAAGAATTCTTCTCTATGAGTAATTTTACTATATCAGTATGTCCTTTCTTACTTGCAATCAACAGAGGATTCCATCCATTATTGTCACATAGATCAACATTAGGATTCTTCTCTAACAGTAACTTTACCATATCAGTATGTCCTTCCCTACTTGCCCAGTACAGAGGACTACAGCCATTATTGTCACAAAGATCAACATTAGGAATCTTCTTTATCAGTAACTTTACTATATCAGTATGTCCAATCAAACTAGCCCAGTACAGTGGACTACAGCCATCCTTGTCACATAGATCAACATTTGGATTATTCTCTAACAGTAACTTTACTATATCAATATGTCCTTTTTGACTTGCCATGTACAGTCCAGTAACGCCATCATCTCTACACTGATCCACATTCACACCATTAAGTAACATCCACTGTACCATATCAGTATAACCATCATGACAATTCCATATCAGTGGAGTTGTACCTGCTCCACAGTCCTCCTTTGATAACACTGTATCTTTGGTATTGACTAATGTTACTTGATGTAATTGATCTAGTTGTTTTAAGTGATTTAATAACTGTTGTCTAAATGATGATTCATTTATATTATTGTTACTGAATACAACAGACACCTTTCCTGCTGACCAGTCCTTTATAAACCTTTTTAAATATGATTGGAAATAATCTTCTTGTATTTCAATAATGAAGTCTATGTTACTGTTCTTGTCATCTGGTGATTTCTGCCAAATAAAACGTTCATGTACTAAATTACTATCCCCATGATCTATTAAACATTCCATCATTTTCTGACCAAAGTAATGTGCGAGGAAGTCAAACAGTTTATCATGTATAGTTCTATAAATACCATTATGTTTACAGATAAATGTACCATCTAAAATATCAAGTTCTTTCTTCAGTTTTGCCTTTGATGTACTTCTGTTGATTGCACAAGCCTCACATGTGTCTTCTATGATATTTCGTTGTTCATCTGAAACTTTACCCTGGAACCATTTTTCTTTTAATTGATTATTAAAGAGAACTAATAAAGAAAGACTACATATTTTATAGTTGCCTTCATCATTTCGCATACTTAAATTGTCTAGTTCATTTTTATATACATTAAACGGATTATTGAAAAATTCTTTAACGTCTCCTTTTTCTACCCCATGATATAAAGAGCATAAAAGTGGAAAGAATTCACTATTTTGTGATAATTCATCAAAATCGTCAACTCTTGTACCAATATATGTTTTTGCTATAATACTTTTTTCTTCATATGTAAGACATAACTTATCTGATATTAAGTTACATTCACAGGCTTTAAAAGGTGATAATATTTTAAACTTTTCATCTTTATAGACTTGTAACCTACAAGATACAATAATCTTACAACATTTGTCTGTAATAATTGTGTTAATCACAGGTAACAGTTGTTTCCAGCTATCAATATGTTGTTGGCTGGCAGTAAAATTTCCACAAATATCATCTACAATGAAGACTGTTAGTTTACCAGGCCGATAGTAGGTTCTTATGTCTGTAGGTGAATACACTGGTATTATTTTGTATCCTTTGTTCTGTAAAATAAGTGCTGTGTGTCTACTGATAAAAGATTTCCCAACTCCTGATGGGGCAGTTAAAGTCACACAACTGTTGTCTTGTAAACATTCCATGACATAATTACTGGCTATTGTAGTCACAAACATCTTATCGTTCTTTTCCCAGTCTTCTACTAGATTTTTTATTTGCTCTGAAAAATATGTTAGTGCAGCCAATTGGAAATGATTAAAATTCAGCTATTTTTTATACAATATCATTTAAAATAGACGTATATAGCAGGTAACGGTTGTGTTGGTATTGAAAAAAACAACCACAATACGTATATATCTAATAGTATAGACTACAAAAAATAGTCTAAGTTAAATTAACCATTAAATAAAGGCAACAATACTATACCGCTGTTCAAAAGTCATAAATCGATTAAGAGAAAACAAATCCGGGTTACAAACTAAAACCGAGGGAAACACATCAACTTTAAAGGGAAACAACGGCATAACAGAAACACTGAACTGCAACATAAACAAACGCCAACATACATAGAAGAAACGGACTATTTGATAACAAATGCCATATTCCTGACTTGGTACAGGACATTCTAAGAAAAAATGGTGGGTTGAACCTGGTTTGATGGCTAGGCAAACCTCTCGCTTTTATGGCAATGTTAAAAAATATCGTTAAAATGACAGATCTACGTGACAGGAATAAAGAACAAACAAACGCAAGAACACTCAGCACAAAGAAATGCATAAATAAATAATTTATAGTACATTACAACATGTAAACCGCAGAATAACAAGGGACAACTGCCATTAGCGACAGCACAAGACACCACAAACAGTGACATACTGTGGATTCATTAATATTCATTGGATACTATTTTCGTGGATTTCGTGGGTACCGATGAACCACGAAATTAAATGTTCAATGAATCAGAAATTTCCTATAGGCTTGTATGCAGACTTCGGGAAAACCACGAACTTAAATATGCATTTATATATTTAAACATTTCTTCCATCGATTCCTAAGATAATGTAAATATAAAGCTTGTATGCAGAGTATACAAATAAAAAGAGTTGCTGGACTAAGTAATTGATTTTGTTTAATTATTAAATGACCAAAAATACTTAATTGTGTCATTTCTTGCTGAAAAAAATTATTCCTCCTTTCCTTGTTGATGACTATCGGGGAATGCCACTTATATATAGATTTCTTCTTATCATAACACGACAGTGTTACTACTGGCGGAGGAATTTTGACAAAAACCTATCCAAAAGCCATTGAACCATAAAATATATGCCATTTTTCTTTCTTCTTACATCAAAAAATTGGATCCAATTAGACACTCATAAAATCAAAACAAATAAAGTTGCAAAATATTTGACCAGCACTCTGTTGGTGCATATGTTCATGAAGATGCCAAGGGTACTTCAATAGTTTGTCAGTTTTGTTTGGAGAACTAAAAGGAAAAATAATCTGGTCCAAAAACCGCCAAATATACTTTCATTATGAAAAACATTAATTTGATCTTAAAGTCAAAAGTCAAATGTTGTCGTGAATGTCATGGCACTTCGTATTAGGGCGATTCTTACACATACTAAATATCAATAACCAATGTAATGAGATAACCAAAATATGACCTGCAAGTCAACATGTAAAAACAAATAATTTGACTTTAAGGCAAAAGTCCATTGTAATAAATTTATATATTAGTACATGACACGTGCTTTATGAAAAAAACAAGTAATTATTCTTTTGTAACCGATGACAGCAATGTTTGTTGAACCGACATATAACTAGAGAGAACTGTTTAAATGGACTAATCAAAATATTTCCCACTTATTATAAGAAATGTTTGTCTCAGGTCAAGGTCTTTGTTTGGTATATAACGGAACACAGCCTCTGTAAAATATCAAAATGTCAGAAAATAAAATATGTGAGACACTGTTTTATGGCTATACATACACCTGCTTGTTAATTATCATCTCAAAAGAAAAACTAGAGGCTCCATGGATCCTGTATCACTCAACTGGCAAATTGATACAAATTATGCAACAAGAATATTGGTATTGAATGGAAACTGTGTGGGCCAAAATCTGTCTTGCTGATCTATTTCGCTGAACCAAGTTTTTATATATTTTTTAGAGTTCCATTTTACTATTTAAAGTTTCTCTTGATCTATAAAAGTTTTCAAATTAATAACAAACTAGATATGGACAATGCCCCCCCCCCCCTTTTCTGCTCTGCCATATGCATGAATTGAGTTCCACACATTTGACAAACAGTGACGTTGGCATACAACTTGAAATTGTTACGCTGTCTGTAAGACACAAATGATGCCCCCGCTTTACCATAGGAAATTATAAATTTAACACTATGTATGATGATGTAACTGTAGGAGGAGATAGCCTGACAAAGAATGATCTCTTTATGCAGCTAGTACCATGAAAATGACTAAGTCCAACTACCTGTCATTTTCCGAATATTTAAAAGAAATCCTGTGGCCATGCATACCTCCATTATTTTTATGAACATTCTAAAAAATATTAAAGCTGTACATCCAAAACTGTTGGAGGAGATAGCAGTACAAACCATGATCTCTTTATGCCGCTAGTACCAAAACAATGACTAAGTCCAACTACCTGTCATTTTCAGAATATTTAAAAGAAATCAAAATCCTGTGGCCATGCATACCTCCATTATGTGTATCAACATCCTACAAAATATTAAAGCTGTACCTCCAAAACTGTTGGAGAAGATAGCAGTACAAACCATGATCTCTTTATGCCGCTAGAACCAAAAAATTTACTAAGTCCAGCTACCTGTCATTTTCAGAATATTCGAAAAAATCAAAATCCTGTGGCCATTTACACCTTCATTATGTGTAAGAACACTCTACAAAATATTATAGTTCTACCTCTAAAACTGTAGGAGGAGATAAAATTGAGAATGGAAATGGGAAATGTGTCAAAGAGACAACAACCCGCAAAAGAGCAGAAAACAGCCGAAGGACACCAAAGGGTCTTCAACACAGCGAGAAAATCCCGCACCCGGAGGCGGGCTTCAGCTGGCCCCTAAACAAAAATGTGTACTAGTTCAGTGAAAATGGACGTCATACTAAACTTCAAAACACATAAATGAACTAAAATTAAAAAATCATACAAGACTTACAAAGGCCAGAGGCTCCGGACTTGGGACAGGCGCAAAATGCGGCGTGGTTAAACATGTTTAGTGAGATCTCAACCCTCCCCCTATACATCCAGCCAATGTAGAAAAAACAAACACACAGTAATACGCACAGTACAACTCAGTTGAAAAAGAAGTCCGAGTCCGATGTCAGAATAGGTAACAAAAGAAACTAAGCAAAATGACAATGATACATAAATTAACAAAGGACTACTACCAGTTACTGACATACCAGCTCCAGACCTCAATTAAACTGATTTAAAGATTAAGTCTTTATCATATGAAAATCAAGCACAATCCCTCCCATTAGGGGTTTAATACCATACCATCATAAAATATATGAGAAGAATATAACCCGTGTCATGCCAACAAAGGGTTTTAGAATAAAAATGTTTATTTCCGATTTTTTTTTTTTTTGCAAAGACCCTAGGAGTGAATCAATATTAACACCAAAATATGCCATCTCTAATGACCTGACAACAGTATCGTAACTATATCCCTTCTTAATAAGTCTGTTTAAAGGTTTGGTAAGCTTTTGAGGTGAATGCCGACATTTTTGTGCTTTATAAAGAATATTACCATAAAAGATTGGATGTGAAATACCTGAACGTATAAGATGTCTTCATGTTGATTTATATTTACGAATGATGTCCTTGTACCGGTGATAAAATTTAGTAAATGTTTTGACTAG